TGTGTTGACGGCTTTTGTTTCCTGCACTCTTTTATTAAGGCATTGTAGTGCCTTAACATAATGTTGGGACTATCGGTACTATCATCAACATCAGATTCATCTACAAATCAAATATATTTGTACTATTTTAGAACAATTTGGGGAAAAGTAATGCAAAGATATTTTCACAATTTTTGTTTTCAAGCAAGCTAGTAATTTTTAATTTCCTGACGATAAAAAAAAATTGATATTTACCACTTCCATTTTTATTATTTTCAAAATAAATTGGTGTGATTATAATTATGCTTTGCACTGCATTGCCTTTTAAAAACGTCCACAAACATGAATGAATGCATACCGGTACTCATATTGTTGGAGTATGCATCTTTCTTATAAAAAACAAAAACATGCACAAAATTGTAGGACAAAAAAGACAAATGAGAATGTTTGATAGAACAGCATAGATTTAACAGCATAGATTTAAGAGTACAATGCTTACCATCATAAATATATGTGTCATCTGAGTCTTCCAAAACTATATTCTTCGGGCAAGGACTTTGTGATTTTTGTTTACTTGAACAATCGCTTTGTACACTTATGTCATCATCATCAGTGGTGATTTTGCTTTGCTTCAGCACTTTTTTTTTCCCTTGCTTTCCTTTTTTTGACTCTTTAGTTGCTGGCTTCACATTGTACAGCCGTTTTTTCAGCTGTTTAAATATGACTCCCTGAAAAGACATTGTAACCAAAGTAAAGAATTTGTAATTAATGTTACTTTATTATAATGGGGAAGTAGTAACAAACTCCAATCATTAATAAATTAATCAACATTGCTAAAATAATGTACAAAGATCAATGAAAAGCACTTTATGATAATTAATATGAAATACAGCATTTAGCATGACCTGTTAACTTATGATCGAGATTCTCCAAATTCACAAGACTTACTTTGACATGCAGGTTACAGTAGTTTACACATAATAAGTCTAGTGTGAACAGCACAGGAAGTTAAGAAACTAGGAGTAAACTTACAAGAATCGTAAGTTGAATAGAGTCAACTGTGCCCATGAAAACTACTGGAGGTACAGCTGTACAGACCGGTCTAAAATATAGTCCAATGCGTACAGAGACAGTTACTTATTGGTGTCACCGAAGTAAATTTTGTTGGCAAAGGTGTCAATTATTTTTTTTCTATTCTACAATCGATGATACTTACATGTTTAGTTTCCGGATCTTTTAATGGAGGATAGGTTATTATTATGCTTTTAGCCATTTCTAATATCTCATTATTGGTAGGTTGGCGATTCCACGGAGGACTGTAAGCAACAGAGACCATATTATTTATTGTTCCTCGTATGATTCTATGTCGTAGCTCAACCGGTATTGTTCCTGATTTAGCCGCAAAGTCAACATCTGTATCTTGGTATATGGTATACTCCGGTGACTTCGCGTGAGACAACCAAGGTCTCTTCACTGACGGAGGTTTCACTGACGGAGGTTCCACTGAAGATTCCTCAAACTCCTTGTCAGGACATGTCTTCACTGCACTGGTTGTACCAAGCATAGAAGAGGTTGTTGCCTTTTCTTCATTGGTTTCCTAAAGGAAATAAGATCTAAAAATATTATTCTGTTACTATTACTAAATAATTTAAATGATCATCATCATTTATAGATTTGACCCAATAAATAGATAAAAGGAATATATATCACCTCATTAACAATTTTCATTTAAGGCCATGTTTTCAGCCTGTTGGTTATTCCACTCTTATGTTACTGCAATAATATACAGAATAAAAATGCCTGACTGTACAGTACATGGCAGCCAAAGCAGACAAAATTAGTGAATGTAATAAAACATTAC